TAGTAGTAGTAGTAGTAGTAACAGTCCCCCCTCTTCCAACAATAACAACTTCCTCCCCCGCTGTCGTTGTTGTCCCCTCCCCACCCCTATCGAAGGGTCTCTTGCGACTTGAAAGTTCAGAGACTTGGCATTGCATGGATTGTGCAAGACTTCATCAGGCTACAGCTGGCACGGCCGGCTGGGCTATGCAGGCCCTCCTTAAAGTTGCGTCAACAATCTCGACTTGTACTTTGTGTCGCCTTAAGCCGCCAGCCCGGCCAAGATCTCGCCTGACCTCCTTGATGCATCTTAATACAATCGAGAGCGCTGCCTCTCTTGCAGATGGAAGCCTTGCAGCGTTACATGGTAGATGACATGCCAGGGCCTAAGATTTTAGAGCCGGTACTCCGTATGGATTGCAGTGTGTCAATCCTGCGTTTCACCCCTTAACCCTAGCAAAATCGAGGCCTGTGTAAACAGTGTAAACGCCTGCCTTCTCTCGACTTTTCGGATCTGAGTTGATGCCCAAGGCTTCTCTACCTGTTCTGCTGCAACGGCTTTCACAACGAGTACTGCTGGGGACCTGCAGTTCCACAGGCAAGTTGGACTGACAAGAGTTGCAAGCCGAAGACTTTGATACATACCTAGTGTCGATACATCTTGCTGCCAGTGCGATTGTCTGGGGTGCAGAGCGAACGACATACTCATGACTGTACCGTCGTGGATATGCAGCGGGGTGTCACGTCCGCAATTGCCGATTTTATGCAAATATGGTCGGTACAGACAACCTCAAAACTCTATACTCGACAATCCACTACCAGTCCTTTCGACGTGAAGCCATCGCTTGTCTTTGAACGCGTGGAAGGCGCTGTTGCCCGACCCCGACGCATGGGAAGGTGTCGGAGCCTGAATGAGCCACAGCACACAATTAGCAAGGCAGCAAGAATTCAACCAGTTCCAAACACTTTATTGGCTGAAAAGCAGTGTTGCTCCAGAGCCGTTATCATTGCCAATATACTGGCGAGCCCAGTTTCGCAATCATTTCATGGCAGCAGTTCGAGGGCACGGCCATGTCTAGCTGCATTCAGAAGTGTTATGTCTCAGGTCTCCGACATCGTTGCATGGCAGATGCCTGAGAGACCGTCATCGCGCATCAAATTCAAGCATTCGGCGCAGTCCCAGATGTGGTGATGCTATGGATGGAGTTTACAGGTCACAGAGAGGCGAGCACGTTCAGCAGCATCAAGATCATCTGCATGGAGAGTCCATCATCAGGAGTTTTGAGTACGCTCCACTAAGGTATCCGCGCTGCTGCTTTCCCAGATTGCGGGGAATGCTGAAAGCCGGACACTGGTAAGACAGTAGTCGCGGATCAACTGGCGCAGCCGATCGTGAGGACATGTGTGCAGGGTGCCCACGCTTATGGTCACATGCGAGTTGGGACGAGTGCACCTGGCACCATGACTGCCCGATCTGTGCTAGGCCCCGATCCCTACTTGGATGCGGAAGCAGATTAGCAGGCAAGGCCTGGTCCATAATGCTATGGGGGATGATTTCCTGTCACATCCGTTGCTTTGATTGTGAGTGCAAATAAGCCCCATTGCTTCTACTGCGTTAGTTGCTGATGACCCTGATGCTGCAACACGTGCAACTACGGCGTTGCGCTACCTACCGCTACTTCGGAAGGGCAGCTCGTGCCCAATGTGACTTGCACTGCATGCATCATTCCCAACCCTGCTTTCGCATCTGCCTTCGAGACTCCCCACGACTGGCGCCGCCAACCCCCCCCCCCAGCACCCCCAGCACCACCAGCACCAGCAAAAGCTGGCACCAGCACCAGCAACAGGCAGCCACACCGGCACCAGCATCAGCTGTCGCCATCTTCATCACCGTCTGCCATCAGCATGACCTGTGCCATTGCCGTCACCGTCACCACAAGCTTGAGTATCACCATCATCCGTGCAATCCGTATCCGATTGCAAGTCGTGGAACGCCATTGCAGGGACTTGCGCCACATGGCCATGCCGGGACGACCGGGTCTGCCTTGGCCGCTTGGGCCTCGGATCGGGTGTTACAGCTGTGAGTTGCTTTCGTGTGGACCCTTGCGTGAGGTCGAAATTCGCCGGGATGCCCAGAATCGGTTGGCGTAGTGATGGCTGAGCTCCGCTGCTAGCCTTTCTGGCACTCTATCCAAGGAAGTGCAGCACTTCGCTGGCTCCATCCGGCAGGATTTTGGGGTATAGGGTGACAACGAGAACGAAAGATAACGAAAGTTGATTGGGGTTGGGACTTCTGCCCTATTGTTTCAGGAGGACGGACAGCCGAACTACCAGGAGTTGATCCGGTTCTGCGACTACCATGTCTTGGGCTCTGGGCAGGCCTTGCAACTGCCGCAAGCTATGTCTCTATCATCCACTCACATCCAATCTGAATAACATGTGATCGCCATTTCTCGAGCGTCCTGCCTTATCGGTTGAGCCAATGGTGCGTCGGGAGCTAAGCCAAGGACAAGCGCTAAGGGATCAAGCCAGGGTTCTCCCGAACTTCCCTCTGCTGCAGTGGTCGCGGTCCTGGCCAGTCGAGTGGTGGTGGTGGCTTCCAGGTTTATGCAAACCCTGTCGGAGTGTAGAGGTGCAGCGTGGCGCCATGACCCCAAGACCCACTTTCCTTCCTTGCTTCCAACAAGGCTTTGCGCAGATTGAGCCTGATGGGGGCGGGCCCCCGAAGTATGCCCTCCTGCAGGCGCATATAGGGGCCTTATAATTACCTATACTGTTTTGGGGGGTTCCTTATTATAAGTATAGTATAATGGGCGCATTTTTTTTCCAGGGGTCCTTCAGATCGAGCCCCACTCCATCGGAGAGCACGAAACTTCAAGGGGCCCAAACACGTGAGGTGCCTTCTTTAAGAGGTTCCTGTCACGGAGTGCTGGGCGCCCTGAGTCGGAGCAGTATAATTTAATATAGTTTTGTAGTTTACGATATTAGTGTATATATAGCATATAGTCTTTACAATATAAGAGATAGTATATAATATTCCATATTAGTGTATATAGTGTATATAGTATATAGTTTAGATTATATCGGAAGTAGCATGTAGTATGATTTGGGCTTGTTAAAAAAATATAGTATCGTACAGTCTAGCCTAGTCCAGTCACGTCTAGTCACTGGTCGAGCATGGTATGCATAGCATAGCCCTGCGGGCCAGGCGGATGGGCCGCCGCCTGAGCTTCACCAGCGAGGGCGGATCGAGGAGCACGGCCTCAACCCAAAACCTAAACCGCATCCCTAAACCCTAAACCCTAAACCCTAAACCCTAAACCTAGGGTTTCAGGCCTTTTTTGTTTGGGGATTTTGGTCGAGGGTTTGGGGGTAGCCTACAGACGTCCCAGGCCCGAAACTCCCAGTCGCAAGCCTTTCGACTCTGCACGAGTAGACAGAGCTTTTCAAAGACGCCACCCTAAATCCTGAACTCCTAAACCCTAAACCCTAAACCCCTGAACCCTAAACCATCCTAAACCCTAAACCCCCAAACCATTCTGAACCGGGAAGTTCTCAGCCTTCCAAGGCCGAAGATGCCACCGAACTCTAATGGAAGCCCCTCCAAGGAATCCTTCCCAGGTCATTCACCGAAGCAGAAGGCTGCCCTTTCGAGGGCCTCAAAGACACTCGCCGCAAGGCTGGGAGTTGAGTGGAAAGAGGCAGCTTGGGGCTTAGGGCTTACGGTTTGGGGCTTGGAGTTTCAAGGTTTGGAGGGCGAGAAGCTTCGAGTTTAGGGGTTGCTCTTTGTAAGAGGCGTTGGGAGGCAGTAAGTGCATTCTGTGTGGCGGCGGCCGCGGGCGAAGGGGGGGGTGGGGGTGCTACACTATACTATACCGAGCTATGCTACTAGTATCCTTTTCTGTGCTGGACTGTACTATGCCTTACTGTATTCTACTATACAATACTTCGCCACACTGTGCTCTACTCTACCATCACACTATAACATGTTTGATATGCCTCCGAAAGTCCTGGCTGAAATCCTTAACCCCTCAGCCCAAATCCAGCCAGCGACAGAAGGAATTCAGCCGGCTGGAATCCTTGCACCCCGCAAGGATTTCAGCCAGCGACACCCCAGCTTCGGTTACCCCGGTGCCAGGGCCGCCCGTTAAAACCGAGTCCCTTAAAGAACCCCTACCGCCCCCGTTGAACACCCATAAATAGAGTCCCTTAAAGAAACATCAGACAGAAAGAGAGAGAGAGAGTGCATGAATGACATGAATGATATGAAATGATGATAATGATGCTGCGTATGCTGCGATTCTGAGTGATGCGTCGGTCTTAGGGCGTAGGAGTTCAGGGGTTAGGGCTCAGGGTTATTTGATTTTACCGACCAGCCAACAGATAACAAAAGGGGGCGGGGGCAGGGCGTGCAAAATATTGTTTGCGTGTAAGCGTGCCCGAACCGCACTTCGCTCGTTCCCCCTGGTCGCGCGATCTCAAGGGTGACTTATTATGTATTTGACACGGCAGAGGCTCGTTACCATGACATGGACAGCAACAGCAATAGCAAGACCAGCAGCAACATAAATAACATAAGCCGAGAGAGAGAGAGAGAGAGAGACTGAGAGACAGAGAGATGCGATGGGTGACGAGGTGGTGCTTTTGTGGGTATGTCTGATGTTTCTTTAAGGGACTCT